CCATCTTGAGTGAGTCAAGTGCCATGTGTGTGTAAGGATTGTTGATATTCTGTGCTATCTTGTATAGTTTAGAACTTACTCTGTGTGTTAATCAACGCGAAATCATTAAGTTGTGCTAGTCTAGGAGATGACATAGGCGTTTCTTGCTTGACCATAAAGGTGTTTGTCACTGACAAATAGAAATTTTCCATTGCTATCCCCTTTGAGCCTATAGACCGTTTTCTTGGCACCCACATTATAAACCGTACTCCTACTTTGTTCTTAATGTGAGATTGTTGAACCTTTACCTCCTAAGGCACTTAGTCGCTAGAAGAAGTAAGGTGAGAGATTGGGAAGTGGCTTTTGAGTGAAACCATGGAAGGGCCCTTAAGGTGCACTAAAATTGTGAATAAAGGTCACTAGCTTATGAACTTCAATGTATGGAGTGTGTAAAAAAAAAAAGAGGAATTTTTTTGCAAGAAAGAGCAAATAAAAGTTCAAATAATGTAGAAAGACACACCTCCTAATCCTTCTCACTCGTGCTAGTGAAACCATAGAGGTGCTTGATGGAAAAGAGGGCTATGTTAGTTATAGTGTATGACAAGTGAATTGGTTGCGAAGCAATTGCGCTTGAATTGTTAGTGTAGTGTATTAAAGTGCTTAGGAGGGTTAGTCACTATTCCTAAATGTATCCTACCCATCCCTTACCCTACATTATAACCTTAAAGTCCTAATTGATCCTAGATTTAGTTAGCTTAGATTAGTAGAGATGTACACTTCGGGCAAGCTTATGGTACGACCACGGGATGCATATAAATTCTTTATGAGAGTGAGTGAATGTTGTTCAATTGTGTGATATCCTTAATTTATGTTCAATGACATATTTAAATTTGTGGACTACTTTGATATTCACTCTTTTGCTTGTGGTGAGGGCACTTGATCTCATGACGGATTGGTGATATTGTATACTTTCTTGTGTTGGGTGAGTGCGTGAGTTGAGGATGCTTAGTGGTAACGAATCGTCTCTTGAGGTAAGGTGGTTGTGGAGAGGTTGCTTGAGTTGATTGAGTTGGTTGAAAAACATTGAGTATACTTGGGCTATTTAAAAACGGGAAGAATGTGAAATTTGTGTGTTCATGCTTAATTGCCGACATCGATCATAGTCAAAAGGTAGGGTGTTTGATTGAGTTAATTGTGAGGTCCTCTTTCATAGTGCTAAGTACGTTTTGGGGGTACTAATATAGTTCCATTGCTCGAGGACGAGCAAGAGTCTAAGTGTGGGGTGTTGATAATCAGCTTAATGTATGCATATTTTGATATATACCGCCTCACATTTTGCTCATGTCTCGACAATTTGAGATGTTTAATATGATTATTTGTGCTAAATTTTGGTATTTCTATGTGTAGGGATCATTCGGATGCAATTTGGGACGAAAGGGTGCGAATTGAAGCGAAATCGGGACAAAAGGGCAAAAAGTGAAATTTGAGGGCAACAGCCAGCGTGGGGCGCTGGCTGTGGCGCAATTTACAGCAGCTAAAATATTTGAGCGCCAAGGCCAGAGCCCCACGCTTCCCTGGATGCTCAAAAACGTGAACATATCCTATTTCAACTGGGACTCGGTTATTTCGATCCCAAGACGCCCCCAACTCATATAAAAGCCAACCTAAACCTATTTTAAAAAGGAGAAGGATGTTTTGAGAGAGAAAACACAAGCACAGAGCCGTCGTGGAGGCCGAAATTCATCAAGTTCCATCTTTCTCTCACCAAACTTAGTAATTTTTATGTTTCTTTGTATGATTTGTTGTTTGGCTACCATGTCTATGTGGAGCTAAACTTCACGTTCTAGGGTTGTGGTTCTTTCATGACTATTGTTATTCGGATATTGATTTTGCCTTCTTGATTTATCATATTGGTTTATTTATTCAATCTTGCGCTTAATTATTTAATTGCTTGATCACCAATTGAATACTATCTACGAATCTAGAATTGAACTCGAAAGTGAGAATTCTAGATTGCATATATGATTGAGTAGAGAAAGTTCTTGAACTCGGGCATTGGGGAACGAATTCGTGGTTAGGATAGACATATACCTAATTGCCTTGCTTGGTTGATTTACATGAATTATAAATGCGTTCTTGTTGATTCTAACTCCATAGACATATAGGCGTTAGGTTAGCTTGAATAGGCGAGTAAGAACTCGACAGATTCTTATGAGCAATATTAACCCTGTCAACCAATAAGCTAGATAAATTAGTCGGTCAATTCAATTAAAGAATACAATAGGATTGTTAGATAGCCCATAACCCTAGATTATTTTCATTACATTGATATCATAAAAATCTGCTCTTTCTCCGTTCAAAGTTCATTATTTATATTTTTTTTATTTAATTAGTTTAGAATCAAATATTTTTAGGTTTAATTCTTATTTAGATAATTAGGATAGTCTAATTTAGTTAATAGTTAATCACAAGTCCTCGTGGGTTCGACATCCGACTTTTAGTCATTTTATTACTTGACGACCGCGTATACTTGCGTGTGCGTTTGGCCGCAACATGGACACTCCCATTGAAAATGTCCAAGCTTGTGATAGTTGTAACACTCTACTGTAGCTTTGTCAAATCTGCCTCTTCCCCTTCCATGACCTCGACCCCTTCCACCAGATTGTTCTCCATGAGCAATCTTTAAGGCTTGTTCATCCGCAACTGGAGAGCTCATGCGTTGTTCATGCACAAGCATACTTCTTTGCAACTCATCAATAGTTATCGTGCTTGTATCCTTAGATTCCTCAATGGAACATACAACATAATTGAACTTGATAGTCATGGATCTCAAGATCTTTTCCACGACCCCTGCATCTCCTTTGTCTTTACCATTTGCTATTAACTTGTTAGCAACGGTGAGAGTTCGAGCAAAAAACTCATTCACGGTTTCCCCAGCTTTCATGTGCAGAATTTCAAACTCTTTGCGAAGACCTTGCAATTGTGCTCTCTTAACTCGTGTATTACCCTGATATTGTTGCTTCATATGATCCCATATATCCTTTGCGGTCTCCTTTTTCAGAATTGTTTCTAAGACTGAACGATCTAATGCTTGAAACAGAAAGTTATTTGCTTTCAAGTCTTTCAATCTTTGATCATCAATGTTCTTCTTCTGTGCATCAGTCATACCTTCTGCTGCTGCAGGAATTCCATCCTCCACGAGGCCCTAGTATTCCTTTGATCACAGGAAATTCTCCATAAGCATCGCCCAATGATCATAGTACCCATCAAATTTCGGTACTGCCGGTTGGACAAAGGAACTCTCTGTTGTCATATTTGGGTTGCCAAACACTTAGAAGACTGTGACTTCTAACGCCGTGATAGGACTCTGATACCAAATATTGAAAATCAAAGAAAACTTATGCAGAGAGAAGAAATATGAAGGAGAAACTCGATGATTTTATTGAAACAAATATGGCTATATATAGCCTTACATAACCGACGTTTAAAGCTAAAACTATGTTTTCTAGATTCTAACAAATTCTAATGACGTGAAGAACTCGACAGACAAAGAACTTTAATAACATTAGGAAGCTAAACACTAAAAGACTCCTAACAGTTCGTTTATTTAGAGATAACTATCAAGGACTTTGTAACCTTCTCCTTCTCCTTCCCCTCCCAATTTCTTGTTTAGTACTGAAATGTCCAAAACTGAATCATGTTAAAAGAAAAATGCTACATATAAAGTCAAAAATATGAAAAATAAAAGTAACTATAACTGATAATAGAAATGACTAGATCATTATAAAAATTTTGGAGAAACTTCTAAATAAATAAATATTAAGATTTACAAGTGGTTGGCAGTTATATTATCATTCTTTGAGGTTCTTTGTCTGTTGATGATACTAATATATTTGTGATGCTTGCTTGGTTTTGACAACTGAGTGAGTAAGAAAATATGAAATAATTTTACATGGCGGTAGAGGCGGATCCAAAATTTGGAGGTTGCGGGTGCCAAGCTAATCGATTTGATCAACTCGGGCGTCGGTTCGGGTTATTCATCTTTTTTATTTATTTAGACAAACGATCAAACGAAAAAAGTATAATAACTATAACTAATTGACGCAACCATAAAACTTTCAATAATAATATTAATATTATAAATATACACCATCTATTTACAATTGTCCTCGATGAGTTTTCATATTTTGAAAACGATCCATAATGACATCATTACTTACATTTGTGAATATATCACACTTGATGTAACAAACTAAATAATTATTTAAATATTGGTCACATATGCTATTTCGTTCTTCATTCTTTATCTGCTTCACGGATGAGAATGCTCTCTCCATAGTTGCGATAGCAATATATAAAATCAGAGTCAACTTTACAAGTAAATAAACATATGAATAAGTCTCCACAAGATTTGCCTCAACCAATCCTTTTGCCAAATTACTAATTTCTTGTAAGTTGGAGAACTTGGGATTACTAGCTCGCATATGAATTATAAAAGTATCAAGTTGATAACTCAAGTCTCGAATCTATACTTCAGTAAACTCATTTGGGTAACATTTTGCTAAAGTCATTATTCTACCTTTATCAAAATTAGCAAAAAAATTGGCTGGATTCAAGCTAGCCATCCCGAGAAGCAAATCGCTACTCACTACATCAAAATGGTCATTAAGCTCTTGAAGTTGCACATCAATTACAACATAAAAGATTTCAACATGCAAGCAGTGTGAATAACAAACACCGGAAGACTTGCGCTTCGACTTTCCAGGAAAATAAGATTCATCCATCTTGGGAATCAAAATAACGTGCATAACACAAAATGAGGAAATATTATCTAGTAAAGATTCCCATCCACTTTCTCTCACATCTTGCAATCTTTTCTCTGTAATATTAAGAAACTCCACGGCATTAACAATATCTTGATCCCTCTTTTGTAGGATCTACTCATTTGACATTGCCAAAACTTTCAACATCAAGTGAAGTATAAAAACAAATTTGAATGTTGTTATCTCACTCAAAAGATATTTTGCTTGATTTATCTCATTTGAGGTAGAACCTTCATATTTAATCACTTCAAGCGCATGAACAATAGATGAGAAAATAACAATAAAGTTATCTAATGTTTTGATATGTGATCCTCAACGAGTGTCACCTGGTCTTTGAAGCCCGCGTTCTTGATTTAGTCCTCGCCCAGTATGAACCTCAGCGGACTCAAGTAATTGCTCGAACTTTTCAGCTTGAAGACGTTGATACAAATCTCCGCACTTAAAAGATCCTCAAATGACATTCAACACGTTAGTAACATGACAAAAGAAGTCTTCAACATCCAAATCCTTTTTAGCAATAGCTACAACTAATATACCAAAGTAATATCCATTCAAGTCTCCAATTATAGCCTTTATTTTTTTTGCACAAATATTGATAATATCCTTTTGGATCATAGGGCAAGTCAAAGTATCATTTTGTGGAGCATTTTCTAATATAATTTTTCCCACACCCGGATGCTTGTCCCTATGCCATCGTAAGAATCCTAGAAAGAGGCCTTGATTAATTGAAGTTTCACTTTCATTATGACCCCTAAAAGGCAATCCATACAACAATAAAAGTCTTGCCATATCAATTGATGCTTCTAAACGCATCCGATACTCACTTTTCAACTTATCGAAGTGCTTATAAAAAATAACTTGAATTGATTGATGATGATTTGATAAGTCTAGCAATTTCTTGAAACATTTATCATGGACATTATTAACATCACCAACATATAAACGAAATCTTTCAAGACCCTTATTCCAAGCCTTAAAACCATTCTTTGTATAAAATTCGCCTAAACTTTCATGAATAAATTTATTTTTGAACAATAATAACACATAACAAAGAAATCAAAAGTGATAATAAAGTTTTGCAAGAACATTAAAATCCAACTAAATACAAAAAAAGCAGAGCAAAAACATATATTTAATGGAAAAAAAATAGCCACAGCCCACATAGGGTTAAGAAATAAACAAGAGGAAGTGAGGTCTGAGGAAGCTTTACAATGGTGGCTGTAGAGTAGTGACCAATGAACAAGCGTGCTTTGAAGCAGCAAAAGAGAAGAACTGAAGAGGTGAGCGTGAGAACCGCCAACGGATTGGACGAGCAAAGTGGGGGTTGGGGACTTAGGAATTGGGATTGGAGACGGGGTTGGGGGCTTGGGAATTGGGATTCCTTTTGCTGGAGACTAATTTTGGAAAAGGGGAAAGTGGCGGAAGGCTTTTAGCTTTCTAGGAATATTATTTTAATTGTAAAACTTTTTATTATTATTATTATTATTATTATTATTATTATTAGTAGTAGTAGTTAAAAGTCAAACATTTAAAATAGAAAGTGTGGTTGGATTCGAACTCACAACCCGCAGAAGGAAAAGATGGACCATTGCCACTGGTACCTTGACCACTTTTATTCTGTGGGTGACACTTTAAATATATATACTATTTCTTATATATATAGAGTTTTTGTCGAAACTTGCGGGTGGCGTACTACCACGAACCATGTACATAGATCCGCCCCTGCATGACGGGCGATGAAATTAATGGTGGGCAAAACGGGGGAAAAAGTAGTTTATTTTTTGGGAAGAAAGTAAAAGCACCTATTTTATTTTATTTTTTCCTTCCTTTTTTAGATGACATGTGTTTTCTAATGACATATGTCTTTACTATATTTGTTTACTTCTTATGTTCACAAGATACATTTCTGTTCAAGATGAAGTTTTAATTGGTCTAGCAAATTGACATTTCATGCCAAGTTTGAGAGTCTATCTATGTATTTGGTAAAAAAACGTTGTTGGCTTGCACGGTAAAAAATGTATTTCTGTCAAGATGACATCCTTAATTTTGATTAAAAAATTAAAAAAATATCACACATTTATAATTCGGGGGAAAAGCTTCTAAAAATCAATAGAACTATACAAGGAAGAACAAAACCAAACGAATTCCCTAATTGCTTGTATCTTGTATATCGTGTCATCCACCAGAAATACCATAACTCATAGGTAACCTTTAATAAAGGGGACACTCCATGCATCTTTAAAATTTTTAATTAAATAAATCAACAAACAAATTTCTAAAAGAATTTATAGGGAACTTTTTTAAAAGAAAAAAGAAAGGAGCAAACATATAATCCATCCTCAGTAGTGAGATTGATCAATAATTACTGCTCCCTTAGGTTTCCTACTCAAATAAGTTGTTGGATCAATAATTACTACTCCCTCAGAAGTACACAGGCAGACAACTCCATCAGTCCATCAAAACTATTTCTTCTATGACATTAGTGATACTTCAATTATTAAAAGTGAAAGTACTTCAAAGTGTCAAACAACCACCTTTCAAGACTGATGTTCAGTTAATTTGGTATAGTTCTGGAAAGAGGAAACTGATGCAAATCTCATATTTAACTTCAACAGGTCGTATTGCCACTAACATTAGCATTATAATTGTTTGTCAATGGTGAGATCATACGAAGAAAAAAAGGAAATTGAAACTTTTTTATGCATTATCAAAGACAACCTTCTCATATTTATGTGAACAACAAAAAAAAGATAATCATATGGGCACCTTAAAGGAATGACAAACTTATATGGGCGATTATAATACTTCAACATGAGTTATAGACTTGAGAAACTTAATTCAGTTTTTCTTTTAATTCAATATAATGACGAGATTGTAATGATAGTCTCTTAATTTGCTCGTAAATAATTTTAATTATTACAAGATATTTAAATTGAGTGTCTCAAGCATGAAAGTACTACTACTTCACTTCTAATTTACCCAGCTCACTTCTAAATGTAATAAATTATTCAAAATTATGTAATAGAGAGTTTTTTGATTCAAGGACAAATTTATCTTCACTGAGAGTTTAAAAGATATTATTATAAATTTATCTTGAGGGTAGGATCTTCCTATTTGATTTTCACCTAATAAGTATAGATCTTTTAAAATGGTATGAATAGTATTAGAATGTGTGAAATGTTTTACACTAAATTTAAGGGATGAAAATACAAGCTCCAAGTTAATTGTTAAAGGTAAGAGGATTATATCATATGAACAACTAATATTAGTTACATAAAATAGGATTGTCGCACCAAATATTCAACGTGATAATTTTCTTGCTTTTTTATATTTTAACAACATATAGATTACATTTGAATATGAGCAACATCGGCTATGATTGCAAATACTTCACATCTAGAAGTTTCTCCTTCGTCTTTAAGAAATTGTAACCTTTTTACTTTTATAGCCGCATACATATCAAGAAACTGTTGTCGAATGAAAGTAGTAATTTATAGAAGTTGTATAGAAATTCGATCAACATAGGTCTTCTTTAGGGTGGCTAGTATATCATAATCAATTTCATGGTGTAAAGCTGTAAAAAAAAAGTAGTTATTTACATTGTTTTAAAAGGCGTAAGGCGTAAGGCGTGGCATTTTGCATATGCCTCAGCGGGGCGTAAGCTCCGAGACGTGGGGTGTAAGCCCCATAGGTATTTAATTTTTAATATTTTATAAAATAATATAATGACAGTTAATATTTATAAACAGGTAAAATTACATAAAAATTAAAGAATACTATATATATGTGTTCTCCATCCCCACAAAAAACTAATCAAAACAATCTATTATATGTTACTTACAAGCACAAGTAATTTGAGTCTAAAAGAATAAAGTTTTCTATATGGAGTAACAAAAAGGATGATTAACCTGCAATTTGAACTTTGAATTTGCTGTTATAAAGAAAAAATGTAGTTCTCTTTGTATTTGTAAATAAAATTAAATATTCGTTGCTTTTGGGAGATATTAGCAGACTAGCGGACAAGATAAAAAATTAGAAAAATCATGAATTAGGGATTAAATCAATAAAAAAAGGTCTTTACTTTTAAATTTAATACTTTTGAGTTCCTTTTTAAATCTTTTGAGTAATAACCAAAATGATTTTTGAGAATTTGGGTATTATATGAAGAACTAATTCAACAAATTTTGTTTTAATTTGAAAAAGGTCTCCGGGGCTTACTCCTTATTAAAAAAAACACGCCCCGAACGTCCGGGCGTACGCCCCAAATTGCGGGGCATACGTCTCTTGAGACTTTCGCCCCACACCATCGCCCCGGGATTTTTTTGGTACGCCTCGCCCCGGGGCTCGCCCCAGAAACGCCTTTTAAAACAGAGGTTATTTGTGATAGAGATATTTAATAGTTACTAACATCAAAAGGTTTTATTGACAACATTGTTGCACGTACAAGGACACTGACCCCTTTCTCTGTAAATTTGACAAATGAATATTAGTTGAATAGTATAAATTATATAATTGTATAAGTATAACACGATAATCACATGACAAATCTAATATTCATTACACACTATGTACCCTAATATTTCAAGAAATTGGAACTTTTGGCTTATCTATTAAACTCGCATAGTAACAAAAGAGGGATTGCAATTGACCAAATAATAATTGAAATAATTCACTTTTTAAACGGGTTAATTAAATCAGTAATCCAAATTGTATACGGTCGAAATTGATTTCGGCTTTCGTATGTTTGATCGAGATGGGATCATAATGGACCGAAGAAAGTCTTCATAAAATCGAGATGGATCTAAAGATGGCACAAATGAGCTTCAGATTTCAGGCACAGGTTAAACACCGAGCTCCAAGTCATTATTGAGCTCGGGTCCGAATCGAACTATGATGAGATGTGATTGAATCGAGCCTAAGGGCCAGAGGCTAACCAATGCCGAGCCCAAGTCATTTCCGGG